TCTTTCTGCCCACTTGCTCGCAGGACCAGGCCTCATTTGAGTACTTTCTCAACACTGGAGGCTGCATTTGGCCTCTGCAGAGAACAATCCAAGGCTAACAAGGATAATAGCATGGACTGCTCTGCTTTTATTCCTCTCTGGGATTAATGTCCCATGAATAAACACTCCACAAAGCCTATATTCATAGAAATGCTTAGGATGTGAGGTTAGAGCCAAATGGTGCCTGGGGACAGCCTGGGACAAGGAAGCGTTGCTTGGAGGTGGACTCTGGAGGAAAGGGAAGCCCAGGGCTGCTTGCTCCGTGATTCGGAAGCTGCTGGGCTCGTACAGTGAGGAGTCAGCCTTCACAGGCAGGACCTGAGACCAGGCGGGACAGGAGACCAAGCAGGGCGCTCAGGGGACAATGTCAGTCCCAACAGCAGAGCCTGAGCTCCAGGGCACTTGCCACAGACCCCACACAGGAAAAGGGACTTGGGGACACAAACAACACTCATGAACCAAGCTGTTTAGCGGAGGGCCAGGAGAGGCAATGCCGGGCTCATCTGACATTGCATTTGCTCAAGTATTAGTATTTGTAATTAAGATCCCTTCAGGGAGTTGCTGTGTGCTTGGTTGACTGATGGCATTTTTGTTTTTGAAAAGGAAAAGATCTGTAATATATATAGCAAAATGTTAAAGTTGATTGGTGGGTACTTGTGACTTTGCTCTATTATTTCTGTACTTTTCTACATATTTAAACTATGCCATACTTTAAAATATACATATTTAAAAAGAAGGAACTGAGTATTCTTTATATTACCCAGCAGAGCTGCTTTGGGAAGTCCACCTTACCCGTGCGCCTACTGGCTCTTCCTCTTATCTCCTTTGTGAATATTCCAGGCAGGGCCAGGAATGCTGAATTCTTTGACAGTCAAGGCTTTGCACCCTGTCCCCCTGCCCCCCTGCACCTCTGCAGGGCAGCCGCAGGATTGGTTTGGGCACAGCAGGGAGTGCTGGTGCCTGCCTCCCTGCAACCTCACAGCTCAGCCCATTCCGAGAGGCTGCCTCTGTGTGTCTCTGGTGTAAACAGCATGACTCATCGGGGAAGTCAATAGTCATCTCTCCCCTGTTTTTCAAAGACTGGGGAACTGCACCATCTCAAGGTGACCCACCTGGAGCCACAGAAGGGAGCTAAAGAACCTGGAGAGAGAGAAAACTGGAGCTGACAAGCTCCAGCTGGGATTTGGAGCCCGAGGCTGGTGCGGTGAGCCCTTCTGTCCTGGGGAGGGCTTGGCTCTCCTGTGGGGACTTCTCCGTGGAGTCCTGGCCATCATGTGGCTTCTTTGAGCACTGTGGTCTCCTTCTGGCCGAGCCTGCAGAGTTGTCCTCCAGCACCCATCCTTGCAGATCCCTTGCAGGCCCGCTCAGAGGGAAGGAGCTGATAGCTCAGACTTTCGGCTGTTGACTCAGGAACTGGTAAGACTGGATTCCAATGCTGGTGGCCACCAGGAGATGTCTGGAGGGCATGGTTATACTTGGGGTGGGCAGAGGCAAGTTTCTAGGAAACTGGAAGGTCTTCTGGAATACCCAACTCTATTTCTGCTGGTCTTCCTTGGACGTATTACGTCCGGACTATGATCTTGTAATGTGGCAACCTCTTTGCAGAACTGTTGGGGAATAAATTGCACTGAGAATAAAACCCAAGTGCCTGGGACCCTCTCAGAGAGTCCCATGGATCTGATTTTATGATAAATCGCTTGCTATAGCCTCAGAAACAGTTACGACCCCAGAACATTTCAAGTGGGTGAGTGTGGCTTGGATTAAAAAGAAAGTGCTCCTTGTATGGCTGCATTGCAATTTTGTTGTTGAGTTATGAATTTTTAAAGTCAAGACTTGAAGTGTAGGTACTACATCATCATACAGAAAATGTTTTCTTTGAGTACGGCTGTTGTAGTCCTTGGAAACCAATGTCACCGTTTAGGGCGCAACAACGTGTCACGGTCCTGCCTTCTGTTCTGCCAGGGCACTTGAAGGTTGGTTCTATTTGCTGTGCTGGGATAACAGCCCTCTCATATTTTTGAGGAGAGGAAAGGATTCTTTGGCCTGAACTATTTATTTATCAGTGGTTTCCGAAGACAGAAAAACATTTATTTTATGAGAACATTTGTTCTACCTTAATTTGCAAGGGATAAAAAAAAGTAGCCACCATGAAACACAACAGTATTTGGTTCTTGTGAAACACCTTAATGTTTGTGATAGAATTTCTTCTACATCAAAACACCTTAGAAATCATTTTCCAATAATCTTTATATCATGCTTTTCCAAGGCCCTTGGAGGGGAGACATTGCAGACGCCAGCACTTGGAGGGGTCCCACACTCCAAGTTTCCTTCCCTCGCAGAGCTCCAACGACCTGCTGCTGCATCGGGGCCTTGTCCCCTCTTTCTCAGCCAGAGGAAAGTCCCCGTGGCCCATTTTCTGAGCAGTGCTTTTCCACTCTTTCGTAATCTATTACTGTGACCTTGAGATGCCGAGAGAGAAGGCTTTGGCAGGACGAGGTTCACATGGCGCCAATGCTGCTGGTATCTGTGCCCTGGGACCACACGCCTGTGGCCATGGCCGTGTCAATCATACTGCATCCTTCTGCAGCCAGCGCCTGGTCAGCACCTGCAGGACCCCGGAGCCGAGAGGACTGGGCCAGCAAGGAATGTGAGCTTGGGGGAGGGCCGTGTGTGTGTGTGTGTGTGTGTGTGTGTTTAGAGAAAGGCACAGAGGTAGAGACAAAGAAAAGAGACCAAGAGAAATGTGCTTTTAAAGAAGACTTCAAGGTTTTTTCCTAGGACGGTACCTGATGGATTCGATTCTCACCAAAATCAGTTATAAAAACTCTCTGCAAGAAAGTCCGTTCTTAAATGAAGACATCGATGGCAGGAATATGGGACACAGAAGGAAGACGCTGGGATGTGAGAGAGGAGGAAGGAGGTGTGAGGTGGAGCACGGGAACGAGGTGTGTGCAGGGGGCGCGGCGCCTAGAGACTCGGGGCCAGGAGGACCGGGGTCGCCCTTTGGTCCCCACAGTCCCTGCCCCTTCCCCTGCTGTCTCGTTCTTCTCTCCCTCTTCACCCCGGTTTGTGTGGGCAGATGCTCCTGCCAAAGCTGACTTCATCAGATGAAATGAAGGGGAAATCTGATTTGCCACTAATTGGACTTACCGTAGGCAATTAGGGTTAAGCCGGCATGAGGGAACCATCAGACGGGATTTTCAGTGTTTTTCATCATAGTCCTGGGAAATTCTTCCAGAATTTAAGTGGTTTATAAATCAGGGCACTGATTGACAGTATCAATATTTTAAATCAGTTTAAATCAGGATACTGGTTGCCTTGAAATAGCCAATGTATGCACTGCTATTTCATATATATACACACACACTATATATATACTTATATATATAATATATTAACATATACACTGTATATACAGCAAATGGTGTGGAATATATATGTATATATATATATATCTCCAGGTAAACAAGGACATTTAATAAGTACACAGGGTGTTTTCCTTTTTCTTTTCTAAATTTCCTAATCTTTAGTTCCTGTCTGTAATCAATCATTCACAGGTAATGAGGTTGGAACAATTGTTCCTGGGCTTTCTAGCCTTCTGGTTCCTTCCTTGAAAGGAATTTTCCATCTGCATTGGGCTTCCGAGTGTTTTAAATCATCACCTCTTCAACACCGGTGCTGCCGCTGCCACGCCACTGTTCCAGTCGTAGACGCTGTTCTTAAAAGCAGAAGCATCTGTTTCACTGACTGATCTGTTGGATCATTTCATCCTTCATTCAGTGTTCAGTAAACATTTATCGATTGCTTGACGTCTGGAAAGCCCTGTGGACACTACACATTGGGAGGTGTGTGTGTGTTATGTGTGTGTCTGTGTATTTGTGTGTGCCATGTGTGTATGTGTGTCTGTGCATGTATGTCTCTGTGTGTCTCTGTGTTATGTGTCTGTGTGTCTCTGTGTTATGTGTGCATGCATGTGTATCTGTGTATGTCTATGTATATGTGTGTGCTATGTGCGTCTATGTGGGTTATGTATGTGAATGCCTGTCTGTATCTGTGTGTATGTGCGTGTGTGTATCCGTGTGATATACGTGTGTGTCTGTGGCTGCATGTGTTGTGTGTCTGTGTCTATCTACGTGTGTCTATATGTGTGTTTGTGTGTCTGTGTGCCTGTATGTATCTGTATGTGTTGTGTGTATGTGTTCTGTGTGCATGCATGTGTATCTGTGTGTGTCTGTGTCTATCTCTGTGTATGGGTATGTGTATCTCTGTGCGTATGTGTGTGCCTGTGTGTGCGTGTGCGCATGTGTGTCAGACACCCCGAGCTCACAGCTCACACATTTGCACGCAGACACAGGCATACAAACATATCACCGCACGCCGGTTAAGTGCCTATTCCTGCTCTGCAGTCCTCAGGCCCCATGAGTAATTCCCCAAACCATTCCCCTCCCTGGCCAGAGTCAGCCACCTGCTTTCGTTGCAGCAGCTGCCGTTTATGTTTCCATTTCTGGCGCCCGGCGACCTCCAGGAGAGCTGCTGAGGAGAAACAGATGCGGACACGCCAGCCTTATCGGCAGCAGCCTGCGCACAGCCACCGAGGGTATCTCCAAGGGCAGAGGCACCAAACAAGGACAGCGATGATGGGGGCCAGGCAACTGCTCAGGATAGAGCATCACCCCAAGTTTTCTGCTGACAAATGCAGTCTCCCCTATCCTCTGATTGCGATTCCTTCTGCATACTTCAAGGGGAATGCACATTTTCTCTGGCCAAGCCTGCTCCAGCAGGGGCTGTATGTCTGAGACTCAAGGCTGAGGCTTAGTTTGGGAGGTGGGTCCCTTTGTCACTCCCAGCCTGCAGCAGGCCGGCTAATTCCTGTGACCCCAGGCCCCCATGCAGACCCTCTTGCAGGGGGACATGCCGTGGTGGAATGTGGTGCGGTAGAGCAGCCCCAGGGCCTCTCCAGCTCCGACCCTGAACAGTTAAGTGGGGCGTAGCGGCCTTCATTCTGCGGAAGGGAAGCTGAAGCCTGTCTCCAGCCCCCAGCAAACACGTGCGCAGGTCCTGGGTGGTCCAACCTCGACAAGGGCCTTGTCTGCCCACGTGATCTGAGGCAGAAATGTCCTCACGTGTAGGGGCCAGTGTATATAACTGTTTAGGAGGATTGTAATGAAGGAAACCCAGAATCTTCCCTGAGCCATGCCCTGTGTGGGCTCAGGGGATCTGGCCTGTGCTGTGGGCAGGACGCACACAGAAACAGGATGCAGGGCCTGTCCTCAAAGGGCCTGCAGCCTAACTGAGGCATGCCTCTTGGCCTCCACACTTCCTTCCCTCCAATCCCCAAGGAGCAGATGCACCAGCGTTCTGTCCACGCCAATGTTCCTGGCGCCCAGGGAGTGGGGGAGGAGGCAAGTGACCCTTTCTGGCTTTCCAGCCATTAGCCTCTCTAGGGTAGATTCTCCGTAGCTTGCACTGCTGTGGTCTATGTTTGAAGATGTCTTTCCTTCCATTCCTCATGGCTCATCAGTTCATGTCTTCAAGATTTACCACCCGAGTGGTCTTCCTTGGCCTTTCGTTTTCAACTTGCATTATAGCTCTGCCACACTGGTCCCTCTAATGGGTCCTGACTTATTGCCCGCCTCCCGCCTGTGGCTGTTCACGTGCCAGGCCCAGGTTTATGGGTGTTGAGCAATGTCAATGCTTATTTTTGCCAGAACGAACACACACACACACACACACACACACACACACACACACACACACACACACACGTTTTAACCCAGTGGCAGCCAACCTGACCAAGGGTCAGAAACGGAATTGCTATGCTTGTGAGGAGCGGGGTCACAGGCACAGCTGCCACACAGCTCATGCACTGCTCAGCCACAACCAGGTGCTCATCACGCATTTTCCCCCACGATGGAGATGGTTTGAGAGAAAAGACACGCCCAGAGGAAGGGAGGAATACAGACCGAGCTTATGAACGTCCCTAACTAGCGACTGGGACCTCCTGGTCGATTTCACTGTCCTGTCTTAGAGACGGCTGAGCCACTGGCCACCACGTCATTCCCTTCTTCTTGCTGCGCCCTGCCTGTCACCACAGTTTTCCGATTCCCAGTGTGATGACAGGGCATCCCAGTGGGCCATTATTCAATCAATCCCAGCAATTCACTGCCAGTATCTATTTTCCCTTCAAACATCTCATCCAAATATCTGGGCCCCACTCCTATATTTCATTGATTCTGAGATACACATTATTTTTTATGTTAACATTTCCGAAATTGGAATACATGTAAAATGGGCGGCATATCATCACTAGTTAGGGTTTTATCTTTCTTCGTGGCGCACCAAGTAATGGTGCTATTGATGGTATTTTACATTTGCGAGAGTTCCTGAACCGGTGACAGTAATTTTAAAAACTCCCTTCCCAACTAGGGGGAGGACACAGGCTCCTTTCTGTCACTTAATCTTGCAGTTGCTGCCTTCTGTTCCTACTCCAAACCCACTTGACTCTATCTTGGTGGCTATGGCTTCAGTCCTTTCACCTCCTACCTGGTGTTGGTTTCCCAGCCTGGGTCTTTGACTGTGCCAGGGAGGGCCACTGCCCTGAATCCTGGCTGCACCTCTAGGCTCCTTCCTCTGCTACCTCTTGGCTCCATGCTCCACGGTCTGCAGACACTCACAAGCCCACAGACACCGCGAGTCTCCCCGGCCCCCGGCACGCAGGGACCCAGGCTGCCTGCCTGCCAGGGAGCGGCGTTCTGAAGGCGGACACAGACTGTCCTTTTAAGTTTTGTGTCCTCAGCACTTCGCCCAGTTCCTGGCAAATAGTAAGGTCTCCATAAATGTTTGCACAATCAATCTGTGAAACAACAGATTCATTGTTTTTGTCCGCTTGTGATCTATAGGTGCAGAACATTTCCTTCTTGTACGTATTTTCTTTTTTCCATGACAAGGAAGAGCTACAGCACAGAGCCCTTCCGTAGCAGGGCGTGTGGCCTTGAGAGCTGTTTGCTGATTTTTTTATTTTCTTGTTTTTTGCCCCTTTGGCTGGTATGGGATGTGGCTAGCATTGCTGGGGGTGTGTGTGGGGTGAGATGGGGCATGCCTGTCTTGCCTCTCTCTTTCTGCATAGCCTTACACCTGACCTAGCCTTGAAATTTCCAGCTTGCAGGGGGCAGGGCCAGGTTTGCGGCGAAGCCCTGACCCGGAGCCAGGCAAGGCTCCACACACGCTTGCCTTCCAGCCCAGTCTAGATGAAGGCTGTTTGCGTCTGTCAAACGGACGGGATTCAGTCCTGGAGCCTTAGCTGGGTCAGGTTCACCTCTGGCTTTCATCGAACTCTTTTGTAAAGGTTGTGGTTCTTAACCTGCTGGAGTCCCTCGGAAAGGGCAGCCATCCATCTACTGGGACAACGGAGCTTCCCAGTGAGTGGAGCACTCTTACCATGCTGCCAGAGGGCAAGGAGCATTAGGAGGCAAGGTCCCCACCATGGAGACACTCCCCCTGCCCCACTCAGCCTCATGCTGAAAAGCAGGACAGGCCGGGTCACTAACATGCTGCTCATATAAGAGACTGATTGTTCACAGTGATTGTGGATGATTTTTCATGAATATTCACTCTTATCCAGATTTTGGAGTGCTAGCTCAGATTTCTTCTAGAAAACAAGGACTACCAGTGTTTCTGGAGGAGGTGCTAGTCTTTATTTTATTTAGTTAAGAGCTGTGGCAGGGGCTCAGATTGTCACCTCCCTAAGACAGGCACAGGGAAGGTGTCTGTCTCCAAGTGTTGTGCTATAGCTGCCTTACGTGGACTGAATATTTTAGATATTCAGAAATTTTCCTAGCTGGTTCCTCATGGTAGGAGTATTATTAATACCAATAATAATGCCAGGGAAATGGGCAAACGCTACATCGGGGCTTTGCATCCCTTCCCTGGGAGAGCCGGCTGCCCGTACACCACTGACACTGACGCGGAGGCGGCAGCCTGGAGGGATTCTGACTGGTTATTTTGCTTTCTTTTTGTTTTTTTCGCCCTGGATTTTATCAAGAAACACACATTCATCATAGGACAAGAAGAGAGGCGTAGAATTAGAGTATGAAATAGCCCATAATAAGGTGAAGAATCATGTGGTAAAAACTACACCAGCTTGGAGATGAGACATGACACCCAGGCACCGTAGGACAAGCTGTGGGTGCCTGGCGGGGATTTAACACCAAGCGCAAGCACCGCTTTCAACAAGCGCGACCATTCCCTGCCGCTGCTGCGAGAGAAGGCTAAGGACTTTCTCCTCTGGAGACCTGCTCCAGAGACTTGCCTTGCTGAAGGAGGCCTGTCTGGCAGAGACAGGCTACACCTCCCCTCCTCCCCTTCCCGCCCAGGGGCACAAAAGCCACCTCCTAGCCTCAGGTGAAACACCTGCATGAGGGTTGTGAGCTGCCAGTGTTTGAGCCCTCAGCTTCTTTCAGTTTTTGCTAATTAAAAGCAATTAGGCAAACATTGGAGAATAAGGTAAACTTTTAACACTATAGTGAAACCAGAACATTTTGGATTTTTTTCCTTTGTGGAACAAACCCTGTAAACGTTCACTTCAGAAAAAGCTGAAGCAGCCGGGGAGGAATCCTCTCCCTCCTGCCCATCACTGCTGCCACCGCCCCGGTAGGGAGAAGTTTTGGTACAAGAAAGGAGAGTTCCTTCTTTTCTTCCTTCCCTTCCTCCCTCCCTTCCTTCCTTCCTCTTTCTTTCTTTCTTTTTTTCTCTTTCTTTCCTTTCTTTCTTTTTGAGACAGGGTCTCACTCTGTTGCCCAGGCTGGAATGCAGTGGCATCATCGTAGCTCACAGCAACCTCCAACTCC